AACTGTACCTGGAATAGATCAGTGGTAGTTGAGAAGGTATTGCAGAGAAGAGGAACCAGGAAGGTCGGAGATACAGGTTCAAGACTGCATGGAGCTCTAGCAGCAGTTTCAAGGTACTCCTAGATACAAAGATAGGGTTCAAGATACTTCTAGATGCAAGGATAGGGTTCAAGATACTCCTAGATACAAGGATAGGGTTCAAGATACTTCTAGATACAAGGATAGGGTTCAAGGTACTCATAGATACTCCTGGATACAAGGAGAGGGTTCAGGATACTCCTAGATACAAGGATTGGGTTCAAGGTACCCATAGATACAAGGATAGGGTTCAAGATACTCCTAGATTCAAGGAGAGGGTTCAGGATACTCCTGGATACAAGGAGAGGGTTCAGGATACTCCTAGATACAAGGATTGGGTTCAAGATACTCTTGGATACAAATAAAGGGTTCAGGATACGCCTAGATACAAGGGTAGGGTTCAGGATACTCCTGTGAACAAGGAGAGGGTTCAAGAGGCTCCTGGATACAAGGATAGTGTTCAGGATACTCCCGGATTCAAGGTTAGGTTTCAGGATATTCCTGGATATGTGGATAGGGTTCAAAATGGATTTAAAATGAGGGTTCAAGATAATCNATAACAATAACAATAACAATAACAATAACAAGTGTCCGGCGTTGTCCGTGAATAAAAAAATCGAATTAAAAAAAATTGATTTTTAGAAAAAATTCGATTTAAGAAATAATAATAATAACAATGAAAAAGATGATATCAAACAAGGTTTACTTCCGGTAAAAAAAAAACTTTAAAAATTATATTTTGTTGTTTCCTGGATATCAGGTACAGGAAGTGGTTCAGTTTCATCATACATCCTGCAGTTATCAGATTCTTATTAATTGATAGATCCTTGCTGATTATAAAGGGACAGTACACGCAATTACTTTACAGTGATGAATGTCCGATTAACATCGGTACTCTTTAAACATTAATCTGAACATTAACGACGGAGAAATCCTTATTTTCCTCACTGAAAATTGAACGTCGAGAATTCAAGTGAACATAATTATTGTGTGTGAACTCAATGCAAAGGATTTTAGATATTTCCCGAACCAGGAATTCCTGGAATTCTGATTTCACTCAGGTACAAAGGGTCACTCTACACTCTACAGTACCATTAATGATACAACTATGGGTTCTTAAACTAATTGCCGTACGGTTGTGGCTCATGGCATCCGGAAGACAAAAAAGTTTATTTGTGGCATGGAAGGGAAAAATGTTGTGGCTTATGGCCGCCTGCCTTCCTCCGCTCCTACTCCTACAGTACTATTAATGATCACAAAATGGGTCCAAAATTAATTGAATTACCGTGCCCCAAAAATAAAAGGTATAAAAATATAAGATTAAATCATAAATCGATATATAATATATATATATCATAGGGATTTATGTGTATAGGGACCTTTTCTATTTATATTTGAGGTTTCTGTATGGTAGCATAAAATTGCACTCATTGATTCAAGCCTAATATTAAAGATGTGCTACTTATTTTCGTTTTCAGGACGGAAACATTTTTATGGATTTTCTTGACAAAACCATCGAATAGAAATAAAATATGATATGAAGTATGATTTAACTTAAATTTATCCTTGGACCATTTATATACTTTGTTAACACAACATGGAAAGAATTGTACAAGGGGGGGGGGGAGGGAGTTCAAGCGAGAGATAAAAAGAAAGAAAAGGTCGGGGCAGGGATATTTATAAAGTATACAGTATATACTGTACTCAGTACTGTACCTATATAGTTTAAGAACCCCCATGAAGTCTGAGAATGGATTTTTCTGAATAGATCCGGAGATAAACTGGAGGAGTACCCACATCAGCTTATCCCTACCCTAGATATTCATTCATTCATTCATTCATTCATTCATTCATTCATTCATTCATTCATTCATTTTATCATCCATTAGTTTATTCATTCATTTATTCATTCATTAATTCAATCATTCATTCATTCATTCATTCATTCATTCTTTCATTCATTCATTCATTCATCCTTTCACCTATTCATTCATTTTATCATCCATTAATTTATTCATTCATTTATTCATTCATTAATTCAATCATTAATTCAATCATTCATTCAATAATCCTTTTATTCATTTATCCATCCTTTTATTGCTTAACTTTTTTATAAACAAAAACCATGTCGCAAAAATTAAGTTTTTTTTCTACAAGGTTTTACCTTAGATAGTCCCTCAGCCTGAATCCCCTCTGAGAGTTCTGTAATGATTGTCGGGAAGGAGATGTACTGGTAGAGCACGAAAAAGATGAGATCCGTGGCCTGGTTCATGAACAAATCGTTCAACAGGGCCGCCTGCTGAACCTCCTGTACACACAGATTGTTTTTCGGGGATTTGTAAGATTATGTTTCGGGGATTTTTTAAATGTGTGTTTATTTTTGAATCTGTAAAATATGGGCCGAAACTTGTTTCTTTTATTCAATTTTCAAATCAAAATCAAATCATAAGTTGTAGGGATGGCCAAAGGCTCCAGTTGTGGATTGGAGTTTCAAGTCCTCCCCATTCCTGGTTTTACAGCCCTGGCCTTCTCTTTAAACAGAAAAAATTTCGTCTTATCCTCATTTTGATTACTTTCTTTTGCGAAGCGCCCGGCCACACGACCAAATTTGAGCCATGCCCCACTTTAGAATACCTAACATCCAAGGATTGCTACACAGTTCTTAAAGTTTGAATGCAATGTATTTCCCTAGCGAGTGTTACCGCGTTTTTAATCCAGTTTAGATATCTCGTTAAACAAGTTGTTTAGTTTTATAATCCAGTCCAACATTAATCTAGTCGAGTATGCATATTAAATTATGATTTGATTTGGTTTTCAGTTATTTTTATTATTTTATAAACTGTCTAGTGTCTATTCAGTTTAAGTTTGAAATGTACTGTTTATTTTGAAACTTATGCCAAAGGATTTCATCTGATTTATGGAGGATAATTCGACATCCTAAAACTTACAATCAATCTACAGTGAGACCCATAAACATGTGGAATAGGAAGACGACTATTAAGGATCAAATTGTGATTGAAGATAGTCCAATGAAGAATGAACATAAAAAACAGCAATTGTGTCGTGTACACAGACACATAATTTACTCAATAAGTTAATGCAAGTGGTAGAACTAGTTGTTTAACAACATCTAATGCAAAAGACTGTCTCCTTGCTATTACACAGTTTAAGAGGTCCCATTTTATTTTCAAGATCTTCATTTGGAAGAAAAACCGTTGTAATGAGTAATTTGTGCATTTCCTGTTCCGCCATGCGCATGAGCTCAAGGAGTGAGATGACCAGCTGCCGCTGCAGCGGGAAACATATTCCAGGCGTTGGAACCTCTTTGGTCGGCTTCTTTAAACTCAACACGTGGTTTATCAGGTCCTTACTGTACATCTGGGTCAGCAGGTACCTGGATAGATAGAAAGATATTTGATCAAAAGATAGACAGATGTATAGCTAGATGGATAGATAAAAAGATGTAATTAGACAAGGTAGACAGATAAAATAGATAGATAGATAGATAGAGAGACATATAGCTATTTAGATTGAGAGATACATATATATAAAGAAAAATTGACAGGTAGTTAGATAGATAAGTTGAAATCGCCTAATTTTTTTAAAAAAATTTTATTTTATATTATCTGGCCAACAATTAGTTTTAAAATTCTAAGTTCTTTCGGGAATGGTCCCTTTAATGTCTCCATTGAAATTAAGAGCTGTCCCTTTAATGCTGTGTACCTGAGGAAGTGGGGTTGAGGTTTTACAAGATCCTTATTGTACGGCAGAATCCGGTCGTATGTAGTGATTCCCTGGACACACCAAACCAGGATCAAACAATCAATCAATTGATCATCAACCAACCAAATCAACCAATCAATAAACCAATATATCAATCAATCAATAAACCAATATATCAATCAATCAATAAACCAATATATCAATCAATCAATAAACCAATATATCAATCAATCAATAAACCAACATATCAATCAATCAGTCCCTAATCTTCCCCTTATTCTTGCCCTCTTTCTTTCTTTCAAATTATCTCTTTCTTAATCCATCTATCTCTTTCTACTTATCATATTTTGCTTGGCAAAATCACATCTTAAACTTATCCCTTCCTTCTTCCAATATTTGCTTCTTATTTCTATCATTCTTTCCTATGTTTTTGTTTATATCTTCTACTCTTTGTATCACTTTATTAGTTTTCTCTGTTCAGTATTGTTAAATGAACAATTAAAACATAATTCTGGTTTTCCTTAAGCAAGAATTTGAGTGATGTAGGTTCCAGTTTCCAAGACGACATTACATTTGCCCGTCCCATGTACTCAACAATGGGAATGAGACGCGGCAAGTTTGTGCAGGAAACAATGGCGGCGGCCGGGCGGAAAGAATCCAGGAACTTTGCCACTAGGGGAACCAGGGTCCAGTGCGGCCAGCTTGAGGTTTCAGGATAGCTCTTGAGAATTTCATTTACAATGAAATATCCAGGTAGTAAAGCAGCATTCCGGTCAAATATATATTCTAGTACGCTGGTCAGCGCTGCAACCTAAAGAGATATTATGGTAAAGGATGAATGAATGAATGAAAGGATGAATAAATAAATGATTGAAAGAATGGATGGATAAATGAATGAATGAAAGAATGAATGAATGAAAGGAAGGATGATTGAAAGGATGAATGAATGATCGAAAGGATGAACGAATGAATGAAAGTATGAAAGGAAGGAAGGATGAATGAATGAATGAATGAATGAATGAAAAAACCAAAGAAAGAATGAATGAATTAGTGAGTGAGTGAATTAAATATACCTGAGGTCGAATGGATAGATCAAGGTCTGCTGGTAGGTTTTGTGCTTTCTCTATACAGTTCTTCATGATCTCACGGACACCCTTGTAATCTACTCCTCCTACAACCTGTAACAACATTGCACTCCCCGGGAACATGACAGTGTCAGTCCATAACCTAAAAGCCAACAAGCCCTGTATAAGCCAGTTGTCCATCAAACACTGAAGGACCTGAGCTCATGTTAAAGGGTCAGCCCCATCCCTCCAAGAAAGTCCTGCATAACAAGTTCTTATGGAACCTGATGGAGAACCCCATAGAGGTTGAGATAGGCCTCTATACCCTTAGCCCACCTAATATAGCTCACAAATGGGCACTTAAATACCACATGGGTTTCACTACGTTGGCCCACAACTCCCCTGAACATCTATTGTCTGACATCCCCCGCTCTGAAGCTGTTGAAGAGTCCTGAATCCTTGAGAGTTGTTGCCAAGTGGTTGCACCCTGCCTTGTTGTTGAACCCTTGACAGAAGATAACCCCACCATCCTGGTCCAGGCCTGAACCTGGATGGTTCAAGGGTCCTCCATTGTTCTTCAAGATTACTTCCCATTTCCTGTTCACCAGGTCTTGAAAGTAAACAAGGGATCTAGCGTCGATGATGAATTCAACTTGTTTTAAGACGAGTTTAACATGTTGAAAGATGACTTAAACTTGTTTAAAGATAAGTTAAACTTTTCTAAAGTTGAATTAAACTTGCTTAAAGATGAGTTTAATTAGTTTAAAGATGAGTTAAACTTGCTTAAAGATAAGTTATTAAACTAGTTCAAAGATGAATTAAACTAGTTTAAAGATGAGTTTAACTAGTTTAAAGATGAGTTTAATTAGTTTAAAGATGAGTTAAACTAGTTAAAAGTTAAACTAGTTAAAAGTTAAACTAGTTAGAAGATGAGTTAAACTAGTTTAAAGATGAGTTAAACTAGTTTAAAGATGAGTTAAACTAGTTCTAGTTTAAAGATGAGTTAAACTAGCTTAAAGATGAGTTAAACTAGTTCAAAGATGAGTTAAACTAGTTTAAAGATGAGTTAAACTAGTTTAAAGATGAGTTAAACTAGTTCAAAGATGAGTTAAACTAGCTTAAAGATGAGTTACACTAGTTAAAAGATGAGTTAAACTTGCTTAAAGATAAGTTATTAAACCAGTTCAAAGATGAGTTAAACTAGTTTAAAGATGAGTTAAACTAGTTTAAAGATGAGTTAAACTAGTTTAAAGATGAGTTAAACTAGTTTAAAAGATGAGTTACACTAGTTTTAAAGATGAGTTAAACTAGTTTAAAGATGAGTTACACTAGTTAAAAGATGAGTTAAACTATTTACCTGTCGAATGAGTTTAAATGCTGGATTCCATAGAGCCGGATTTTCATAATTTAGGTTCTCACAACTCAACACTGAAAACAAGGTCAAACTGACATTCTATACAAAATAACTGATTAATACTGGTTTTAAATCTAAAAAGACCAAATAATAAAACTTTACTTTTTTGTAATTTATAATAATTTCATTGTATGATGGCACAAAAAATTTTATCTTCTTGGATCCGAATCTGCAAAAATATTGGCAATCCATGGATTTAAATAATACAGTTTGAATCAAAAGGGAGAAATATCAATCAAAACACAATGTCAAACAATGTTGCTCTCAAAACACACATCTAATGTGTCAACTAGTAAAAATATTTTAAAAAGAATAGTATCTAAATAAAGATTAGCAAAAAGAATATTAATTTGTAATTTGTTTCTGGTAAAAGAAATTATCAAAACTTAAAGAAAAATCCAATTTTACCGGACGGATCCTGGATCCGCATCAAAATGAACTTGATTGCTAAGCGCTGATTTTTAAATGTGTCTCAAACCTGAATCACAAGCAAGACGAGCTGTAACCACATGTTTATACCTGAATCACAAGCAAGACGAGCTGTAGCCACATGTTTATACCTGAATCACAATCAAGACGAGCTGTAACCACATGTTTATACCTGAATCACAAGCAAGACGAGCTGTATGCACGTGTTTATACCTGAATCACAAGCAAGACGAGCTGTAACCACATGTTTATACCTGAATCACAAGCAAGACGAGCTGTAACCACATGTTTATTGACAGCTTCCAGTAGATAGTTCAGGAGAAGAGTTATCTTCCTTTGAGAGTTCAGTAGTCCAACCTAGAGATCAGAGTTGGTTTATGAACAAATAAAAAATGAAAAGTTTAACTTAGTATGACTGGTTCCAATACGTTTTAAAAAACACGTTAACTCCATTTCAAGGTACCTTCATTTATAGAGTGGCATGGCTGTGCCTAAAATGTACCAACATTAACGTAGTACAAATGTACATTGTACATAAAGCGATACCCACAAACGTAAGATTTTAACGACAACCTAAAACTATAACGATCTGAGGGTTGAATTTGAGATTCTGTCTTAAAAATAGTTTTTAATGGTATATTAAATTTTATTACAAAAAGATAAACAAGTAACCCTGTACCAGGACCGGTGTAATATATTTCCAGGATGGATAAAGGAAGTGTATTTGATAACGACAGTTTAGTGGCTCCGATCCATGGGGCCGGAGTGATTACTCTAATACATAATGTTAAACCATGTATTCAGGCTGTAGATACAGGTCATGGTAGTTGGGACTTTACGGCTTCGGCTACTTCCACTTGGGCATAACAGTATCATTGCTCATGTTATGCTAACTCTGTGATCCATGCACTCCAGAAGGAGGCAGAAGATAACAGGGAGGGGTGGGTACCTAGTAGCATTCGTGCTGTTAGGAAGGCATGATAGATAGATAGTGTTTCGCCACCAAAAGGTCACGATCTATTGATGAACCACCCCTGGATTTTGTCGGTCTGATGATGAATTGCCCCTGGATTGTAGACTTAAAATCTGTAAAGTTGACCGGTGTTTGTTTGTGTAGTACGCCTATTCTTGTGGTACAGTATCGCCTCAGTGTGACTAAAACCAGCAGTTTTTAAACATGTATTCGTGTTATGTCTGTTGTTTTTACAATTGCAGCATAAATGCGTTGAAATGAAAGTGTTAGATATTTTTCGAGAAAACGTTTTGACTTGATGTAGATAGATTCACTTGTGAGGATTTTGCTAGTCACTTAGAGGTTTGTTTCTAATCACACTGTTGCGTTAGTTTCGCAATTGATTTGTTTTCTTTTAGGCTATTAACTATAAACAGACGGGTCCTGACCTAAAATTGTGTACAGTTTATTTTACGCATATTGTATTTGTATTTTCTGTAGTAATTTTGTTTTTTCTCTCTCGCAGATTAAACCTGTATCTAAACTATTCTTCACTTCAGAAGATCACTAATGGTGGGAGATGCTCGGGGTTCCGGTCCGCCTAGCAGGATCCAGACAAAGTGATTAGATCAAGATATTCTTATTGAAAGTACAGCGGATGATTTAGGCCGCTTTATAGATGGATACCTGAGCAACATAATATTTGACAGTAGTATCCAGCAAAGCAGGAGTCTCCTTCTCTAGAATATTGATGAATTCAGCCGCAGCATTTTCCTAAATATACAGAATGGAAGAATGGATGTATGAATGAATAAATGAATGAAAGAATGAAGAAAGAAAAAAACATGAAAAAATTAATAATTTAAAGGATGAATGAAAGAAAAAAAAAACAAGAATAAATGAACGAATGAAAGGATAAATGAATGAATGGATTATTGAATGGATAAATGAATAAATAAATGAATGAATGAATAAATCCTAAATGAAAGGAGTAATAAATAAATGAAAGAACGAATAAACGAATAACGGATGAATGAATTTATGAATAAATAAATGAATGAATAAATAAATGAATGAATAAATAAATGAAAAGAATTAAAGGATTAATGAAAGAATGAAAGGATGAATGAAAGGATGAATGAATGAATGAAAGGATCGATGAAAGAATGAATGAAAGGATGAATGAAAGGATGAAAGAAATGATGAAAGAAAAGATGAATGAGTGACTGAATGAATAGATGAATGAAAGGATGAAAGAAATGATGAAAGAAAGGATGAAAGAAAGGATGATTGAAAGGATGAAAGAAAGGATGAAAGAAAGGATGAAAGAAAGGATGAAAGAAAGGATGAATGAAAAGATGAATGAGTGACTGAATGAATAGATGAATGAATAAATGAATGAATGAATGAAAGGGTGAATGAAATGATGAATGAAAGGATGAATGAAAGGATGAATGAAAGGATAAATAAAAGGATGAATGAAAGGATGAATGAAAGAATTAATGAAAGAATTAATGAAAGGATGAATAAAAGGATGAATAAAAGGATGAATAAAAGGATGAATGAAAGGATGAATGAATGGATGAATGAAAGGATGAATACCTGATTAGCTTTATTTAGATCAGCTCTATGCGTGAGAAAAAAATTAAACCCAACTTCAACAGCATCTGTAATCAAAAAATAAAAATAACCAATAACAAAAACAAAAAATTACTATGTTAGAAACGGAAACAATGACATTTACAAAAATAACAACAATCAAACAACAACAACAAACACCAACAAGATCAAAATCAAAAAAAAAAAACGGAGCCCACCTAGACTGATCTGATCTGCCAAAAACTGTGAAATCCTATTCTCCACAGCTCCCATTTTTAGTTTTTATTTCATTCTGAAAATTTAAACAAATGGCCATTATTAACATTACTTTTTGGAAATACTTGAAAAGTTAATTTTGCCAAAATGAATTCTGTGTTTGTAAAAATGAATTCTTAGTTTAAAAAAATGAATTCTATGTTTGTAAAAATGAATTATATGTTTTAAAAAATTAATTCTATGGTTTGTAAAAATGAATTCTATGTTTGTAAAAATGAATTCTATGTTTGTAAAAATGAATTCTATGCTTGTAAAAATGAATTTTAACTTGTAAGAATATTTTTCCAAAATGAAGGCCATGCTAGTAAAAAATATTTCTTTATTTTTAAAACTAAGTTTGCTAACATTTTGATAAGAAAGCTTTTTATTTTGGTTTCTTCTTCAAGCCAGAACTTGTGTTGTGAATTTCAGGAGCAAGCATTCATTTCCATCTTATACAGGCAAACAGGTTTATCTATTTACTCTTCGATTTACCGTCACACCCGGCAGGAATACCTTTAATTTAGGGATCAAGCATTTATCCTCAAATATAGAAGTGCCCACATTAGATATCTAGATCAAGCTCTGTTCTATATTTGTTCTGATCTGATCTATTCTATTCTGAACTTGGTTCTGGTGCCTAGGCTCAGTATGTTATCAGAGAGACGAAGAAGAACTAACAAGAAAACGCTGGTTCCCTACAAATTAAGAAAAAAAATATTTAAAAATGAAAAAAAAATCAATTTTAAAAATGACATAAAAATTGAAAAAAATTTAGTTTTTCTATTACAAGGATTCAAAGTTCTGGGATAGAATATTATATTACACTTGAAAAAACAAATGTTGCGATCAGCAAAGGAACTGTACACTGTCACAAGTTCTAATTTTCTAATCCCTATATCTTTGCAACCTGAAGTCGTATATTAATGGTATATTAAACTATAAGAGTTCTGTATCATGTATGAAAGGTTTACAAAATCTAGCTGCAAAGATAAAACGATAAAAATAGAGTTTGAGCGAGCGTTCAGTTCTTTGTTCAGAGAGTAAAATCATCTTTGCAAATCTTAAAAGTGTAATTTGTACTAATGATGGTATAAATAAATAAACAACAGTAATGCATCATATGGTATTAATATGATTATATTATTAATAACAAATAAAAATGAATTATAACGCTAATAATAATAATACCTCAACAATTATAAAGTGACTAAGGCTTGACCCTATCTGCAACCAGGAACCAGTGTTACGCACTTTAATAATATGGAATAGTTAAGATTAAAAGGTGATAAAGGTCAAATAGTCGGGGATAAAGGTCAAATAGTCAGGGATAAAGGTCAAATAGTCGGGGATAAAGGTCAAATAGTCGGGGATAAAGGTCAAATAGTCGGGGATAAAGGTCAAATAATCAAGGATAAAGGTCAAATGCTCGGGGATAAAGGTCAAATGGACAAGGATACAGTTCAAATGGTCAAGGACAAAGGTCAAATGGACAAGGATAAAGGTCAAATGCTCGGGGATAAAGGTCAACAAGGATACAGTTCAAATGGTCAAGGACAAAGGTCAAATGTACAAGGATAAAGGTCAAATGCTCGGGGATAAAGGTCAAATGGACAAGGATAAAGGTCAAATGGACAAGGATAAAGTTCAAATTGTCAAGGACAAATGTCAAATGGACAAGGATAAAGTTCAAATGGTCAAGGACAAAGGTAAAATGGACAAGGAAAAAGTACAAATGGTCGAGGACAAAGGTCAAATGGACAAGGAAAAAGGTCAATGGTCAAGGACAATGGTAAAATGGACAAATATAATTGCCTAATGATAAAGAAATGGTCAAGGAAAAACGTCTAAAGGTCAAGAAAGAGTCAAATAGTCAAATAAATGTCAAAGGTAAAAATTTTTCAAGAACTTATGCATCCCTGCCGAAAATTTTATGTAAAAATTCAAATTCTAACCTAGATGGAAGAAGTGAAGACTAAGAATATCAGTGAAAAGATGAAGAAGGGAAAACACCAAATCCCTGTTCATCCCAAGAATCTAAACATATCAAATTATTGTAAGGTTAATTTAAAATAACCCTAGCTCCATTGCAATGCCCGATTTAAAAAGATACCCTTTAAACCTTCGACTGTTCATCGAGGACAGAGAGCTCCGTGTCTATATATCTCAAAAAGTGATTGAATTGCCGTAAAAGCTAGCGTACAGTGTGAAATCAACACAGCTGATCTATTATCATCATAAGCCCAGAATTCAAGTATTTAGAAATAAATACCTTTCTATGCATAGAGAAAATTATTCCAGTTAATAGGAATAAATATCTTTATAAGCCCAGAAAGAAGTATTGCAGTGTTCAGAATAGGAATAAATACCTTTATAATCCCAGAAAAAAGTATTCCAGTGCTTAGAATAGGAATAAATACCTTTTTAACCCAGAAAAAAAAAGTATTCTAATGTTCAGAATAGGAATAAATACCTTTATAAGCCCAGAAAAAAAGTATTCCAATGTTCAGAATAGGAATAAATTCCTTTAAAAACCCTGAGAAAAGTATTCCAGTGTTCAGAATAGGAATAAATACCTTTTTAAACCCAGAAAAAAAGTATTCCAATGTTCAGAATAGGAATAAATACCTTTTTAAGCCCAGAAAAAAAGTATTCCAATGGAATAGGAATAAATACCTTTATAAGCCCTGAGAAAAGTATTCCAGTGTTCAGAATAGGAATAATAAAAAATAATTTAATAACAGAGACAGTAGAATTGAGCAAATTTATTACTGATATAATTTTAATTTTGTTCCAAGATGTTTTAAATAATTAGTAATTCACAATAATAATTAACTAATTAATTAATTAAAAATAATACCATTGTCAAATGCAGTACTTCGATCAGATTCAGCCTAAAATATTAAACATCAGATTTTAAACAGAATAAATACATATTTAAACAAGAAAGTCAATAACATAAATAGATAGATAGATAGATGGATATATCTATCCATCAGAATATAGGAAAAAACTTCGATAGATAGATACCTGAATCCATGAATAGATAGATAATGAGATAGTGAGTAAGAATATATTTTCATAATATAAACTAAGCACTAAGCAGACAGATATATAGATAAAAAGAAAGATAGAAAGATAGATAGATAGATAGATACCTGAATCCATGAATAGATAGATAATGAGATTGTGAGTAAGAATATATTTTCATAATATAAACTGAGGAGAGTATAGTTTGCCCCTAGAGCTAGCATCACACCAATCAGTCTCTCCTAATTAAAAAGTTTGAAATGAAAACCAAGGTTAAATAAATGAATGAAAGAACGAATAAAAGAAAACAATGAATGAAAGGATGAACAAACAAATGAACGAACAAATGAAAAAAATCGAATGAATGAGTAAAAGGATGAATGAAACAGTCATTGAATCTTGATCAAGAAATAGAATAAAGGATGCATGAATGTATATAGGATTCATGAATGAATAAAGGATGTATAAATGAATAAAGAATGCATGAATGAATAAAGGATGTATAAATGAATAAAGAATGCATGAATAAATAAAGAATGCATGAATGAATAAAGGATGTATAAATGAATAAAGAATGCATGAATGAATAAAGAATGCATGAATGAATAAAGGATGTATGAATGAATAAAGAATGCATGAATGAATAAAGGATGCAAGGATGAAAAAAGAATGCATGAATGAATAAAGAATGCATGAATAAAAAAAGGATGCAAGGATGAATAAAGGATGTATGAATGAATAAAGGATGCATGAATGAATATAGGAAAAAATAAATAAATGAGTTAAACAATCAAATAATTCATTAAAAAAATATCTACCTCAGTGAATTAATCAGTAAATTAAATTATAAGGATGAACGAATCAATAAAAGATTAAATGAATAAATGAGTTAATCAATCAATCATATTAAAAAAAAATAATATATTATAATAATATTATTATAATACATTATTTTTTTTTAATATGATTGATTGATTAACTCATTTATTCATTTAATCTTTTATTGATTCGTTCATCCTTATAATATTATTATAATACAAGACTAATAAATCAAATAAGGTTGAATAATGATTGAATAAAAGAGTGAAATCAATCAATAATATATCTAAAAATGTATTATTAATGATTATGTGTCCTTATACCTGAAAATCTGTAGTTAGAAGAATTGAAGCGGGAACTGTTAGGACAAAAATTATCCAAGAGGTACACTGTACCAGGCCGGACAATCCTAGATCAAACAGTACATTGAGTACTCTTGTACACATAGTAAATTGATAAGAAATCAAGAAATCAAGAAATCAAGAAATCAAGAAATCAAGAAATAAAGAAATAAAGAAATCAATAATTAGAAAATAAATCAAACAAAATCAAATCAATCAACTGTCAAATAACCTGGCTAACAATCCTTTAAATTGTATCAATAAATAAACCCAACATAAATCCCTGAAAATACCAACCTGCCATCTATAGCTGGAAACCAGGAGAATCCTCCAGCAAGGAGAATAGATAAACCCTGAACCAGGTTTCTCCTCTTGCTAAATTAACAAAGTGATTGTTTAATAAAACATGATTTTAAGTGACCCTCCATGAAAAGGGAAGCATGTCCGATTTTCGACATAACGAATCATAAGTAAATGAAATCTGAAAAAGAAGCCCCCGCTATGGATAATCAAGAATGTAGATAATCAGGTTGTTAATTTAGAAAAACGACGATATCTTTATAGATTAAATAATTAAAGGAATTGTACTGCTGTGAATCGGACATTACACTCACTAAATGAAGGGACACATTCTCTAATTAAGTTTTCACTGACTAGGATCTTTTGATTTTCACGTTTTGTGAAAAAAAAATTTATGATAAAAAATGCTTTCGCTAATTTCCTGAACCAAAACAAAAATTCTAAAAATATAAATTTTTTTCCTATTTTTTTTTCAGAAACATTGATGATAATCTTTTGGCACTACAATATAGGCTTTTAGGCACAAATCAACTCAGATAAAATAAAACATTTAGGATCGTCCTACTACCACCATTCAAATCCGAAAGCCTGTCAAAGAAGGTTTAATTACTTTGCGACCTCATAAGCCCTAAATTTAGATTGGAAAAAAAGCTTGTTTGGTTCTTTCTTAGGATTTTAAAACTGTTCTTAAAAATTTCTCATCAGGAGAAGGAGTTGCATAAAAGTGATTGCAATAAGTATACCTGTATAAAAGTGATTGCAATAAGAATACCTGCATAAAAGAGGTTGCAATAAGAATACCTGTATAAAAAAGAGGTTGCAATAAGTATACCTGAATGAAAAAGAGGTTGCAATAAGTATGCTTGAATAAAAAAGAGGTTGCGATAAGTATACCCGAATGAAAAAGAGGTTGCAATAAGTATATCTGAATAAAAAAGAAGTTGCAATAAGTATACCTGAATAAAAAAGAGGTTGCAATAAGTATACCTGTATAAAAAAGAGGTTGCAATAATTATACCTGAATAAAAAAGAGGTTGCCATAAGTATACCTGTATAATAAAGAGGTTGCCATAAGTATACCTGTATAAAAAAGAGGTTGCAAGAAGTTTACCTGAATAAGAGAGGTTGCAATAAATATACCTGAATAAAAAAAGAGGTTGCAATAAGTATATCTGAATAAAAAAGAGGTTGCAATAAGTATACCTCAAAGAAAAAGAGGTTGCAATAAGTATACCTGAATATAAAAGAGGTTGCAATTAGACCAATCCCCAGAGCTAAACATCTTCGGTCAAAAAAGGAGAAAACCACGGATTCACAGATCAACACTGTAAACAGAAGGATACAGACGACCTCTCTGTTGATTTTGATTGATTGATTGTAGGTGCTTAGCTGGCCTAGCAGCTGGGTCAACATATACACTGGAGCAGTGTAGTAGAACAGGAAGTGCAGAGGTAACTGCTGACACCACCAGGAGAACATACACAGCAGGAGGAGCAGCATATTCATAGTGTTAAACTTGCTACACGAGGGGCCAGTCATTTTAACAAGTCCGGAAAACAACTGGAGGACAAGTACAGTGTTGAAGAGGAGAGAGAGGATGAGACTGATAGAGATGAGAACCCGGAGGATGTTCTCCTGATATCTCTGGTAGTAGGTGATACCGGAGAAGGTCTTTTCGATACAGGCGGAGATTGTGTTGATTGATTGAGTGTACTGACTGGAAGAGATCAATCGGTCAATCGTTCTTTCACACTCCTATATTTATCAAACAATAATTTTTTTTTACTAATTTAACCACTTTTTAAAACTTTTATTTTATTTTAAATTTTGTACATACCATATTCAAAATTGAGCTTTACTATACATGTGTTTAACATGGTTAGTTTTTAATTCTTATATTGTTTTAACAGTTGTTTGTTTTCTTCTTATCTGTTATTTGTTATTGTTTGCCTGGATATTGTACTGTGTGAACCCTGGATATTGTTTTTGTTTGCCTGGATATTGTACTGTGTGAACCCTGGATATTGTTATTGTTATTGTTTGCCTGGATATTGTACTGTGTGAACCCTGGATATTGTTTATGGAAAAGGGTTGGAAAATATCCTCTCTCCGGGACAGACTAGATACAGAGGTGTTTACTTTCCAGATGAAATCAAAAGTGACAAAAGACGTTTTTTTATGTTTTTATGTTTTTAGTTTTAGTTTACTTAGGCTCAAGTCAGAAGAAAGGCTTGTAGTTGTTGATAACTTAGTAGCCTAGCTAATTTGCAAAAATATAAAGGAGTATTTTTTTCTTGAACTATAGACACCCCTGCCTTAAGTTCTTCATACTGAACTAGAAGTTGAGTGTACTGCCCTTTCAGTGCTGGAAAAAAATATAAAATTAATTATCTTTTTTATTTTATCACATTTAAGAAAAAAATCAACCATTCTCTCAAATGGACATATGGTAAAGAGTAAAAAAAAGTGGCAAAAAATTAGTTCCCTCATATCAACGAAATCTAAATCAAAAACAAAAAATCCTGGGAATTTGCTTACCTAGAGAGAGTTCCCGTGGATGTAGATCTAGAATATTGTGCGGGAGTAAACCCATACTGTTCACGGGGATTTTATTCCCTGGATTTAATACCTTATCATACTTTATGTTAGGTGATTAGGTATAGAACAAAAGTAAGCCTATTAAAATTACTTGCAAGATATCTCTTTACCTCTTTTTTTTTTAATAAAAAGCTTAAATTTTTACATTTCAATCAGAGTTATGACAAAGGTACATCGGAGATGCGACGTAGATAGGATGTGAATTCGCATAGATATCTATCTATCTATCTATTATGACAAAGGTACAACAAAGGTACATCATAGGAACAACAAAGGTACAAAAAAGGTACAGAAAAAGTAAAACAACAAACACACAACAAAGGTACAACAAAGGTACAACAAAGGTACATCAAAGGTACAACAAAGGAACAACAAAGGTACAACAAAGGTACATCAAAGGTACAACAAAAGTACATCAAAGGTACAACGAAGCTACAGAAAATGTACAACAATTGAACAAACGTACAACAACCGTACAAAAAAGGTACAACAAAGGTACAACAAACGTTCAACAAACATACAACAAAAGTATAATAAAGGTTCAACTAAAGTACAACAAAGGTACAAATTAAGGACAAAGGACAATGAAGGTATGAGAAAGGTACGTCAATGGTATGACAAAGGAACGACGAATAAATGATGGAAACTGTTTTTATCATTCAAATATAAGTCAGGTGGTTCAAGAATTAACACGAGTAGGGAGGTGGATATTTAACCTATTTTGAACTAAGTATTTGATAATATTCCTAGAAGAGTGGATATTAGAGGAGTTATATCAGCCTGCTGAACATCAACTTTATCCTAAATTAAATAAACTTCTGGAACCCTTTAAGTTTTAAAAGATTAAATTCATGTATTTTACCAAAAACATTCATTCTACTATCTCTACAGTACACTCTACCTTATTAATTGTTTGAAACAGCAGTTAACGGGTTCAAATTTTAAATTTATAAGTAAAATAAAAATGAAGGATTGACAGAAAAGGGAAAGTAAGTAAAGAATGATATAAAAGCATACTTTTGGTACCCTGAGCTCTCGTCAGGAGTGTTTGCGAAAAATGAAAGGGGGTATAGACTAACGTCGAATTGAATTCGATGGTGATCGCTACTAATCTTTCTTCTATCTGTTACACCTATAAGGAGAAAAAGGTTTAACACGACTCATACCGAAGAACGTAGCGTCCATATAAATTCACAAAGTTGCATAATTCAACTCAGATCATAAATAATTCAATTAAATTTAAGATTGATCATTCAGATATTAGAACTTATAATCATCGAATTCAATTTGATGCATTCGTAAATAGTCAATATTTAATAATATTTTGTTTTTGTTTAAAATACTTTAAAGTTTGAACGACCATTATTTGGTCTCTAGGTGTCTCTGTTCTTGATGCTTCAGAGGTTCCACGTAGGAGAGACACCTAGCAACCAAAAAATTCATTGCTTAAAGTATATCGTATATGTAACAAATAATAAATAATATGAAATATCACCTTTTTATGAGTGCATCGAATAAAATTCGATAACAATAGGTAATAATGTCTGAATGGTAGTTTTAAATCTGCGTACACTAGAGACTTACAGATTGTGCCTGTCTTGAAGGTGATATCTAGATATCGAGAATATACACTCCATGTGTCGGTCCTCCCGATAATATCTAGATAAAGAGAATATATACGCTGTGTGCCTCTCTTGAAGGTGTTATCTAGATATAGAAAATATATACGCTGTATGCCGGTCCTCCCGATAATATCTAGATATAGAGAATATATACACTGTGTGCCTGTCTTGAAGGTGATATCTAGATATCGAGAATATACACTCCATGTGCCGGTCCTCCCTATAATATCTAGATATAGAGAATATCTACGCTGTATACAAATCCTCTCGATAATATCTAGATATAGAGAATATATACGCCGTATGCCGATCCTCCCGATAATATCTAGATATAGAAAATATATACGCCGTATGCCGATCCTCCCGATAATATCTAGATATAGAAAATATATACACTGTATGCCGGTCCTCCCGATAATATCTAGATAAAGAGAATATATACGCTGTGTGCCTCTCTTGAAGGTGATATCTAGATATAGAAAATATAAACGCTGTATGCAGGTCCTCCCGATAATATCTAGATATAGAGAATATATACACTGTGTGCCTGTCTTGAAGGTGATATCTAGATATCGAGAATTTACACTCCATGTGCCGATCCTCCCGATAATATCTAGATATAGAGAATATATACACCATATGCCGATCCTCCCGCTAATATCTGGATATAGAAAATATATATGCTGTATGCCAATCCTCCCAATAATATCTAGATATAAAAATATATACGCTGTATGCCGATCCTCCCGATAATATCTAGATATAGAGAATATATACGCCGTATGCCGATCCTCCCAATAATATCTAGATATAGAGAATATATACGCTGTATGCCAATCCTCCCAATAATATCTAGATATTAAAAATATATACGCTGTATGCCGATCCTCCCGATAATATCTAGATATAGAGAATATATACGCCGTATGCCGATCCTCCCGAAAATATCTAGATATAGAAAATATATACGCTGTTGCGGTCCTCCCGATAATATCTAGATAAAGAGAATATATACGCTGTGTGCCTCTCTTGAAGGTGATATCTAGATATAGAGAATATATACGCTATATGCCAATCCTCCCGATAATATCTTGATATAGAGAATATATACACTGTGTGCCTGTCTTGAAGGTGATATCTAGATATATAGAATATATTCACTGTGTGCTGGCAGTACTATCTAGATATAGAGAATATATACACTGTGTCCTGGTCTTCTCGGTAATATCTAGAAAAAGAGAATGTCTACACTGTGTGCTGGTCTTCTCGGTAATATCTAGATATAGAAAATATATACGCTATGTGCCTGTCTTGAAGGTAATATCTGGATATAAAAAGTAAATACGCTGTGTGCCGGTACTCCTGGTTGTTTTTTGCAAAAATAATAAAAAAAATATAATTTTTTTGCTTTCAGGGTAAGACTAAATCGATTATTTCCCCAAGGGAAGCTTAATTCACACAAAAGATTTGCAAGAATCATATATAAAAAAAGAGACAAGATAAGTATTACATTAAGACTTTTTAGGGAAATATACATCCCTGTTTTAACATGAAATACCTCTCTATAGACTGAACAACACGATCCACCCCAGCATCAACAACTAGTATATTCTCCTTGTACTCTCTACTTCCGGGTTTATTAGTGTGACCATTAGTGTCACATCCTTAACAATGAATTGAATGAATGAAAGAATGAAAGGATGGATGAATGAATGAATGAATGAATGAATGAATGAATGAATGAATGAATGAATGAATGAATGAATGAATACCTAGTAAATGAAGGAAGAATATATTCCCCTGCTCTCTGAGTTTAAGTTGAAGATCCGAATTCTCTGAAGCAGATTCGAAGAATCTTTCAACCTAATTATTTCAATTCATCAATTCATTATTTCATCAATTCATCAATTCATTATTTCATCAATTCATCAATTCATTATTTCATTATTTCATCAATTCATCAATTCATTATTTAATCAATTCATCAATTTATCAATTTATTAATTTATCAATTCATTAATTCATTAATTCATCTATTCATCAATTCATCAATTTATGAATTCATCTATTCATCAATTTATGAATTCATCTATTCAACAATTCAACAATTCAACAATTTTAACATGATCGATTCACAACGGTACCCTTCAGTTTTTGCCAGATTAACAATGAGGAAAATGTCGTCGTTTTTCCGGCTCGAAATGATTCGAATTTTCAATTTTCGATTGTCAATGGTCAATCCACAAGTAACTTAAAGAGACTTTAGTGACTTTTGTTAATAAACGCAGAAAAAATAGTACATTTTCGGATATAAATAAAAAGTAGCTTTAACAAAGATATAAAATTGTTAATTTCTGTTTGTTTCCTGTTCAGAACAGAATCAAAATCCACCGGGTTCTCAGACCAACCCTGAATATTAAATAGACTTTAATCCCAGAAACAGTTTGTAAAACATTTAAATTAAAATACAGTGGCAGGCGATTATATCAATACAATAAAGACAACTTTCAATTTCAATTTTAATTTATATCAAACTGTTAAACAGCTGTCAATTTAAAAAGTTTCTCTTTGATTACTTGTAAACTTTTAATTCAATTAGAGTGTTCTAATTTTAAAAAAAATAATTAATAAAAATATATCCAAAAGGTGGAAGCGAAAATAAAATGATAAATAGATAAATCAAACTTTGGTGAAAGATAAAAAGAAGAACCGGTTGTTTCTTTAATATGGTTCATCCCATACCAGAATATATAATATATATATTCTTTAATTTGGTTCATCCCATACCAGGATATATAATATATATATTCTTTAATTTGGTTCATCCCATTCCAGGATATATTATATATATATTCTTTAATTTGGTTCATCCCATACCAGGATATATAAAATATATATTCTTTAATTTGGTTCATCCCATACCAGGATATATAATATATATATATATTCTTTAATTTGGTTCATCCCATACCAGGATATATAATATATATATATATTCTTTAAAGTTAACTTATGAAGCTATGTTTCCATAAGTAACAAATAATAAATAATA